GGGGGCAAACACAGGGCAGATAACTCGCAATTTTGTGGACAAATAATAAATGTTCTAGGGGGAATTTTATATGCCCCTGTGGGCCAATAATCGTTCCGTAATGATAATAATATACTATCATAATATGTGTACAGTAGACTGAAGTTTTAAAAAGTGTTGTTTCTTGTGTTGTAGGCTAATGTTTGAAAACATCAGAGGGAAACGGTATTAAGAATGCTTTTGAAAATCGCTGAAGACTACTGCCTTTCTTCGAAGTATTTATATTGCTTCTCTTTCCATGCTTACTCATGTTTTACGTTGTACGGTACGAGCTTGTAAAGCTCATCATAATAATTGCTTCTCGAACAAGCGCACTTTTCAACTAATTCCAAGAGTTAGATGGTTTAAACATCCATTAACATATTAACGTCATCACTTGTTGAGTTCCTCCTTTATGTTATTATAAAACACTGACGTCATCACTTGTTGCGTTCTGTAGGAATGCCAAGAGGACGCCGAAGTGGAATGCAACGCCCAGCGCAGAAACTACAAACGTTTCCTGCATCATATGGCGGAAGAATCACCAAACGACGAAGATGGCGTCATAATGTCTGGTGATTCATCAGACGAACCGAGCAAGAGTTCTTCCTCCTCTTCAAGCAAAGGCGGCAAAAGCAGCAAAGAGAAGAAAGACAGCGAGAAAGAGGACAAAGAAGAGCTGTCCACGGAGGATGCAGTTCTCGGGGCGGTCTTAGGTCTGCTGTTTCCCCAGCTCGTCAACATTCCGGGAATACAGGCTTTGATCCCTGGCCTGGGGGTCTTGCAGGGTAACGCTGCCGAGGGAGTGGGCGTGGTTGGTTTCAATGGCAACGGTGGGGCGTTGGGGGGTGATGGTCTCGGGGTGCCTGGCCTGGCCGGAGGTCTTGGAGGTCTGGGAGGTCTGGGAGGTCTGGGAGGTCTGGGAGGTCTGGGAGGTTTGGGAGGTCTGGGAGGTCTGGGAGGAGGTTTAGGAGGAGGTTTAGGAGGAGGTTTAGGAGGTCTTGGAGGTCTGGGAGGTCTGGGAGGTGTTGGCGGTGGGAACGGCCTAGGTAATGTCGGAGGACAGGGAGGGGTTGGAGCTTTTGCTGGGGCCAACGGTCCTGGTTTTGGGGTCGGGGGACTGCCTGGTCTTGGAGGAGTCGGTAACGGGAATGGAGGGAACGGTCGTGTTCCAGGGGTCGGAGGTCAACCTGGCCTAGGGGTCGGAGGTCAACCTGGCCTGGGGGTCGGAGGTCAGCCTGGTCTGGGGGTCGGAGGTCAACCCGGAGGTCCAGGCGGTGCTGGGAACGGGGTTGGCCCCGGTGGAGTGGGCGGGCCGGGAGTGGTGGGCGTGGTGAACATCCCAGGTCTGGGCCCTGTGCCTGTCTCTGTGCTGGACGGCTTCGTGGGTGGCGGGAACGTGGCAGACGACGGGAACGTGTACCTGAGGGTCAGTGACGTAGGCGGTATCAACAACCAGGGTCTGGGGATACCCGGGGTAGACACGCTCGTCCTCCTGCCCCCGCGAGGTCCCACCAACATCCAGGGTGGTGGGAATATTCAGGGTCGTGGTATTCAAGGGTTAAATAATCAGGGTCTGGGCATTCCAGGGTTAAATATTCAGGGTCGCGGTATTCAAGGGTTAAATAATCAGGCTCGTGGGAATATTCAGGGTCGGGGCATTCAATGGTTAAATAATCAGGGTCTGGGCATTCCAGGGTTAAATATTCAGGGTCGCGGTATTCAAGGGTTAAATAATCAGGCTCGTGGGAATATTCAGGGTCGGGGTATTCAAGGGTTAAATAACCAAGGTCTGGGTATTCTAGGGTTAAACAATCAGGGTCTTGGCGTCAAAGTCAAAGGGTTAAATAATCAGGGTGTTGGCGTCAAGAGGTTAAATGATAAGGGTCGTGGTATTCAAGGGTTAAATAATCAGGGTCTTGGCGTCAAAGGGTTAAATGATAAGGGTCGTGGTATTCAAGGGTTAAACAATCAGAGTCATGGTATTCAAGGGTTAAATAATCAGGGTGGTGGTATTCAAGGGTTAAATAATCAGAGCAGTGGTACTCAAGGGTTAGATGATAAGGATCTTGGCACAATGGGATTGAAAAATCAGGGTCGTGGTACTCAAAGGTTAAATAAACAGGGTCCTGAAAATCAGGGTTTGAATACTGAGACTTCTGGCTTTCACGGTGAAAATAATCAGATTTCAACTAATCAGGGTGTGGATTCCCAAAGTGCTCCGGAGCCAGGAACTCAGAGCGGGAATAACCAGGTTTTAGATATTCCCATTTTGGGAGTACATGGACTGAACAACAAAGAGATCGACCTGAAGGAACCGGAAAAAAATGGAAAGAACCATAGACTTAAAAAGATTAATGAAGGCGTAAAACGCGACGGAAAGACAGTCCCAGAGGTTGAGGAAGAGGGCGAAAAGAAGAAAGGGAAAAGTAAGGGGTTAACGGGTAAGGGGCTGTCAGTGACCGATGACGTCAGCGCGGTCAGCCGACGGCCGGCAAGAGTCAATGAAGTGGACCCAGGTTTTGTTTTGACAAGGTAGATCACCTTTTTAACGCCCCCC